AAAATTATTATGACAATGCATATACATATTGAAATAACTATGATAAAGGAAATAATAATATATAACAAAGGGCAAGGTCACCAGAGTTCAACTATGTTTATTAAAGTGATAGAGGGCACTGTTTAACATTGGGGTTGTCAGTGTTCTCATTGCCAGCACAAATAGTTATGTATACAATTCTTATAATTTTCCAAAAAAATTTTTAAAGGTAAAACATGAATCTAAAAGCTACTAACTCTAACTTAATTATTTTAAATGAATTATGGTATGGAAATGTGACAGTTAAGATGAACTATCGACAAATTAATGTCTATTTTGGTAATATAAGTAAATTTTGTAGTAAATTCATGTCCATATTTGGTGGAATAAGTCCACTATACAGAATAAGTAAGTATAGATAAATTTTATTTCTTTTTTAGGAAGAACTTATTCTGCTGCTGAAGAAACTATTGACTCACATTGATTGGCTGCCTCCACAAACAGCTCATTGCATATTCAATTACTTGGTGAGTAGGTAACCAATCAAATGATGTTGTCATAACACCTGTTCTAATACAAGAACACAATTCAAAATGACATATCAATAATTAAACAGCAGAAACCTAGGGATGTTATAAACTTTTTTTAATATATATTTTTTTCTAAATTAAACGGATTGCTAGTATTCAAATTGACCAATCTAGAAAAGATATTGTGAAATCATCCATATTTCTAATCAATGTTAAAGATTTATTTCAATCCAATCAGTGCTTCATTTAGAATTGGACAACCACCTGACAAATATGTAACCCTATTATGGGTGAAGACAATATTTTGAGTTTGCAAGTGAATCACTATTTAGTATTTCAATAAAATGCTGATGATTGGTATTGCAATTTTTATAAATACTTTTATAAAATAAGATAAAGCTTTTTGCCCTTTGCCCTTTGCCCTTTGCCATTTGCTATAGAGAAGAGTGACCAAAATTGGTGTAGACAACTTTCAATACAAGTAAAATAAGATAATACATTTTTTTTTTGTATCATTATAATCAATTCTTTTTATATTTATTTGCTGGTAGTTTTTCAAAGTTTTTGTAATCTCAAAAGTCCATGATACAATATAATACATATGTAGCAAAAATCACAAAATATTAAAAATATGGAAAAAAAATGAAAAAAAAACAAAACAATACTGGTACATCAGATTTTAATCAGATTGTTTTTGATATAGACCATTTAACTTTTTTATGCAGTTAGTATGTAATTTGTACATTTATGTAAAATAGCTGAAATGACTTTTGTTATGAACAAATTCTCAATTCTTTACTGATCTGCTTCTCTTCACTGAAAAGCTTGGCCTGATGATGTATTACTGTCGGTCACCACAAGAGGGCGCTAGTGAAGCTATTGCCAACACATTGACTGTCATATGGCGAGTGATACCGTACGTTCAAGGGATATTCTTCAAAGACTTGAAACAGTCGCTGAAAAAAGAGCAATGTGATGTAAGATTATGCTTGTTTATTTTGTAAACTCTATAGGGGGAAGGGCAAGAATAAACCTTAGGTTTGCTATTTAGCGCCCTCTATTGACACATTTGTGAATTTTAGATGTTTATCTATTGTTCAGCACAACAGGTTATGTGTGGTAGTGAGACTGACAAGGATACATCTTATAAGTTGTACCATATTTGTTTTATTTGTAGCACATATGTTCACATTAAAATGACAGAGGTATGTTTGAGGTCAAAATGTGTAGACATGCACATTTAATATCGTAATAATTTGTATTATTATTTATTTCAGCCGTCCATTATGATCACTGCATTTATGCCAAGTGCCAAGGTGAGAATCAATGAATTATTTATCTTGGTACAAACTATAAGTTACAATGTGTATCAATTTTAAAAATGTATCTAATGTGCTCCTCAACATTTCATTTAAAAGGCTTGTTTTAAAATCATAAACTTCAGTAGTTCGGTCCAAACTTCACATCAAAATTAGAGAAAATTACAACAATTACAAGTCTTGTTTGTTGAATTTTTTTTAGTTTTCACATAAAAATACAGTTGAACTTTAAAGGCTGATGGCTGTCATGATATGTTCATTATGGGTCCCATGCGACTTATACAAGACATAAAAAAACACAACCCTTTAAATTTGGATGGGCATATTCAGAAATACTGGTATGGATTCACTTTCTGTAAAGTCCACTTGTGTTAGCTTTCATAAATAAACCTGCAAAATATTTTCCATTTTTATTCAATTTTGTTATAAAGACCTGTAGTGAACAGGAAATCATAAAAAAGTTATAGAAAAAATACATAAAAAATTTTTTAAATTTTGGCAGGTTGAAACTACATTTCATCTCATATCTAATGTACAAAAAAAACATGAAATGCCTGTAATTTAATAATAACTTTTCTTAATTTACAGAAACTAATTGTACATGGTCCCAACGAGTCTGACATCCCAACACAACTACCTGTCATGGAGGTAATAATGAAATGAGATGAGGATATCTATCACCTGTCTGACATCTGTTGTCTGCGTTGATAACTTCAGTGTTTTTAAAAGCTATTAATTTATGCTGATAATCGTTCATAAGTTTTTCCTTTTTATGTACCATTCAAAACAAAAATACTAGCTGTGATTCAGTTTATAAATACAAATATTAGTGCAACCAAGTCTAGTAATTTAAGTGAAAGCCAACAACTACAAAATGATCATTGATTATAGAAATCAAACATTTTTATTAGCGAATATTGATATATTCATCAATTGAATTTTTCTCACATTGCCATACCAAGAAAGGTTTTTAAATTGTATTTATTTATCATAACAGGACATGCAGTTTGAATCAATCTACCAAGACTGCGTTGAATTCTTCAATATTCGAGATGACGAGCAGTCTTCTCATTTCCTGGTTGATAAAAAGTCAAGTAAGTAGAATCAACACGTCGGGATGATTTCACTTTGAATGCCATATTATTTTTCTCACTTTTTGTTGCAAATTTTCATAATTTCTTTACTGATTTTGAACATTGCCTTTTGGTCTAGATCAACATTTCAGAATTAGTTTGGTGACAGAAAGTTTAACAATTTTTTTCGTGAATTTTTAAGTTGAGTGTATATTCATGGTCACAAAAGTCTAAAAGCTCCTGTCTTAAGCCCCCTCCCAGTTCAAATTAAGCATTCTATTGTACTGTAAAATGAATGTAGAACAATGAATGGTAATTAATTAATTGCCTTTAGTCTGGATTATACCTAGTTGCAAATGTGTCAAGTTTATGAATATTATACATTTATTTCACAGATCAACTGTTGGATCTAAAAACTTATGTTCGAGATGTCTACGCATATCGAAGGTCCTACTGTCCGCAGTTAGTACTGAAGAAGATAAACAGTGATGAAGGTTACGCTAAATTACAGAAACAGGTAACAAACAAACAAACACATATCCGATTTTGTAAGAGAATAAAGCTATGGGTAAAATTATATGGTGAATTACAGCCACAAAAGTACATGCTGAATTCCCATCGCATGTAACGGAATTCTTATTTTCAATAAGTTTACAGAATAGTTCATGGTTGATCATCCAATCCCATGGTGACTAGGGTTAAATGCAGACAGCCATGGTCACCATTTTGCTAAGGTACTTGTGGGCAAAGAGGGCAAAGATTGGTGTAACTATTATTAGACAGACGCATCTGAAACCGGCGTTATTAGATTGACTTCCATCCATCGTTACTTCAGACATTCCTGATCACATTCAAACCTCTCACGTACATCAGACATCTTGTCAAACATATCAACGATGACTTATTATATTCTGCTTCACGAATATTTAAAAATTGTTAAATTTTAAATTAAACTACAAAAATTTTCATCATGTTCTTTTTTGATTCACACAGGCATTTACATCAAAGTTGGCAGAAATTGGTCGAGTGTATTTAACCCTTTTTATATTGAAGAGTACTCCTCCAAATCATGTAAGTTGAAATCTTGCAATATATGTATTTATAAATGAATTTCTTGATCATTATTGTTAAATAAATATTCTTGATGACTTGCAATTATTATTGAAAGTGAAATACATCAATTTAAGGACAGCATTCAGTTGTGAAAATCATGTTTGTTTTTTTAGAACAAGATTAAATGTTTTTCTATTGCTCATGCAACTTTGGCCCAGAAAATACCCATAATTATGTATTAATACACAGTTTGGTTGATACAATGCTGTCCTCTAAACAGATTATTTATTAAAGTGCCAAATTGTGTTCAGTGGATCTCATGCAAAATATACAACTAGTTAATTCTTTATTTGTTTACATAAAATTTGAAAATATGCAAATGACAGTGATGCTTTAAATATCATTGTACTTACAAAATTGGGAAACAGGTGTCCCTATATTTTATAGTGTCACTATAGTTTAAAGATCACAAGTTGAACATTGTATTGAAATCTTTCCTGCCATGTCACAGTCTTGGAAGCTGCATGCCCTTAAATTAATCTGCCCTTGATTCAGGACATTAATTATTCATGGATAATGTTCCATTCTCCATCATATGTGTAGTAAGATAACATTTATTGCATTTTTATGACATCTACAGACGATTACCCACATGAACTTCCTACATACAGAATTCATGAGATTGCCAGCATTTCCCAGAAAGGCCCTGGATGCTGAATTTTCACTCTACTCTATGGAGGAGATGGGCAAAGTGAGTAGTAGGTTTATAAACATGAAAATTGTATACACTCTTTTGGGAAGGTGTTCAAGTCGTCTAGAGAATGGGTTAAAATAAAGAATCTTCAATGTTACACTTCTGAAACCAGAAATTGTAGTAAATTTTGCCTGCCAACAACTCTTACATAATCACTAGAAATTTTATCATTTTGATGATTTGAAGGCGTCACACAGACTAAATAAAAATTTGTCTGTAACTCGCTGCCTAAAGATCAACTGACCAGTAAAATGTCATTCTGCGTTTTCCCATGAACTTACATGTCTATTATTTCTACAGGAGCTGTATGGTCTGGATGTTTTACATAAGTATATTTGGTCAAAGGTAAGCAAGTTATTCCTCTATAATGTACAGTTAATTTATTTAATGCATTGATTTACGGTTAAAACGTTATTGACACAACAGCCAGGGAATAAATAGTTCTAACAAATATGAGCAAGTTATTATTCTGTACTGTACAGTTATTGGAAAATTTATCTAATGCATTTATTTATGATAAAAAAGTTATTGATGCAACTAAATAAGTACCAGAAATAAAAAAAATGTGTAAATTTTAAAAACACTACAAATTCTTGATATTCTGAAGATTGAGTGGTTCTATCGAACAAACAAATAAAAATGTGGGTATTATGAATTTGCTTTCATGAAAAAGATTATGTTGCCATTGTGGCAGCCATTTTGGATTGGAAAATGAGCAAAATGCAGTAAAGGTTTATAATTCAAAAACTAGTTTTTTTTTCAGACTTTAGAAAAAGCTAATTGTAAATGTAAAATTCAACAAATTGTTGTCCCATAAGTTGACATGAACATCATTAAATTTGGTAAATATCAAGTTTTTAACCATTTGATTAAAAAATGTAATAACAAAATTATTGTATCAAGCAGAAATGTAAAAAAGTTTTAGTTTTATGCTAGTTTTGAACAAAACAAAAAAAATGATAAAAGGATAAAAAAATATTAGGTGATATGGTAGAAAGTCTGGAAGATATGACAGAAAAATAAACATGGTGCCTAGACTGTGTTCTGTGATTGTTTCCGAAACAAGAATTGAACACATTAAAAATCTTGTTTTTCTCACCTCATTAGTTGATGACTACTGTGGTCTGTAAGAGCAGTAGTGACTTTAGCTGGGGAGCAGATATCCAGTTATTCCTCAATGTTATTAACGGTGCCTTGTTGTTACACTGCGAAGACTCACATATGTTGAGATACTCTGTGTCATGTTATATCAACATCGCTAGACATCTTAAACAGATATTTGCTACCAAGGGGTAAGTACAATTAATGTATACTCCTTTCAAACTGTCATTAATCTGTTAGTAGTGCTTGCACTAACATAAATAACAAAAGTATGACTGTCTTAAAATCATATATTAATCATCCAGCATACAATAAATGCTATTTTTGGTATATGTTGCATACTTATATTGCAGATTTGATGGCTAAGAGAGAAAATGCGGTATATGTCGCACACATGAAAATTGGTAGATCTTCACACGTAGATGAAAAAAATGTCGTAATTGTGTCCATTTAACGCGCAATTAAATTTCAGATCATAGATCTTTTTTTTTGTGTTCGGAAACAACAAGTTGTCTTTAGCAAATTGTTTGTTTGTTTTTCGTTGAAATTATGTGATGTTATTTATTGGGTATGAATCCACCACACATTTAGTTTCACACAAAAACAAGACATATTAATGTCGCATAGGTCAATCAAAAATGACTGACTGGTGGCCATATTGTTTTTAAATGTGCATGAATTATTAACTGGTGTGATTCTTTGGCACAAAGTTATAGTGTCAACTCAGTTCACTCTCAGCATATATTCACATGCAAATGTACACTGAAATCAAAATTTGCCCAATGGCCATTGAGTTACAGCACCTGGTCTGTTTTGATATACACACATGACAGACTGAGTAGTTCTCAAGTTGTTGTATGTCTATAACTTAGTATTGTGTGTTTAACTTTCAGATACACATATATAATACCCACAATGCTACAAGTGTATGCAAGTCAGCACACCAATCCTATGATCACTAGCACCATTGAGGTATGTCCAGCCACTTGTATTTATTTAAATCTACAGTCTGCATAAACCATTAGATACATGATGTAAATAAAGTGGAAGTGAAAGTACAATTCTTTTTCTGCAACATTTCCAAGTTTACATTTTCATCCTACCAAGTTAACCCTTTTGAGCACCAATTTGAAAGTAAATTTTTGTAATCATTCACAAAATAAAATCCACACAATTTTTTCCCATTTTTTCGAAAATTTTGATTAATACATGTAGAAAATAGAAAACTACATCCATTCAGTCAAAATTATATTAAAAAATTATAGAAAAATACTTAAAAACGAGTAAAATGTGCATCATCAAGAAAAATGTTATGTCCTTTGATTGAATACTGTGAATTATTGTTCTGTATTTATCATCTGTTCTAGTATGCTTGTCGGCAATTCTATATTCTACACCGAAAACCATTCATTCTCCAGGTAAATATAACATTTCATTCTCAGACCAATTTATTGGAGCTTTTTTATTATATATTTGAGGTTATCTTGAATAATAATCAAAATATTCTTTTCTTCATTTCACTCATTGCCAGTTGTTTGGTGGTGTAGCCTCTATTTTGCAGTACGATGCTGATTACCAACCCACTGAAGTACCCATAATTCCAGGAAAGGTAATACGATTACATAATTGATTATTTGTGATCTCTTCACTTTCTATCTAATATCCACACACCAATTATATGTAACCAAACATTTCCCTTTTTGTAGCTCAAATATGCTAAACATGAATCGTTTTCAGTGGTTATCCTATCCTGTCTGTCTTTCTGTCTGCTTCGCTCTTTTGAAGTTGACATTGATGGTTGTTTTCTTTACGCTGTACAGGTACCAGCAAGATCACTGTTTCGTCTACTTTTATCATTGGAAAAAGATAGCAGAGATACGCTGGATATAC